TTGGGAGACCACCAAGGAAGGCTCTGCAGAGGAAGGCAACGGCAGACCACCTCTGCTTCTCTCTTGCCTTGAAAGCCCCTTGCTGGGGTCACCATAAGTCTTGGATGGGAGACCACCAAGGAAGGCTCTGCAGAGGAAGGCAATGGCAGACCACCTCTGCTTCTCCCTTGCCTTGGAAGCCCCTTGCTGGGGTCACCATAGGCTGGAAGTTAAGCAGGGTCGGTACTTGGATGGGAGACCACCAAGGAAGGCTCTGCAGAGGAAGGCAACGGCAGACCACCTCTGCTTCTCTCTTGCCTTGAAAGCCCCTTGCTGGGGTCACCATAATACTTGGATGGGAGACCACCAAGGAAGGCTCTGCAGAGGAAGGCAATGGCAGACCACCTCTGCTTCTCCCTTGCCTTGGAAGCCCCTTGCTGGGGTCACCATAGGCTGGAAGTTAAGCAGGGTCGGTACTTGGTTGGGAGACCACCAAGGAAGGCTCTGCAGAGGAAGGCAATGGCAGACCACCTCTGCTTCTCCCTTGCCTTGGAAGCCCCTTGCTGGGGTCACCATAGGCTGGAAGCTAAGCAGGGTTGGTACTCGGATGGGAGACCACCAAGGAAGGCTCTGCAGAGGAAGGCAACGGCAGACCACTTCAGCTTCTCACTTGCCTTGAAACCCACTTGCTGGGGTCACCATAGGCTGGAAGCTAAGCAGGGTTGGTACTCGGATGGGAGACCACCAAGGAAGGCTCTGCAGAGGAAGGCCATGGCAAACCACCTCTGCTTCTCAATTGCCTTGGAAGCCCCTTGCTGGGGTCACCAAAGGCTGGAAGCTAAGCAGGGTCACTACTTGGCTGGGAGACCTATTGGGTGCAGTAATGAAGAAGCTGGAGACCAACTGGTGATGAAGGTGCATAAAGTTTACTTAGAGATATAAAGGTGAATATTTACACAGAGATATACAGACTGTCTTATAACATGCCTTAGTTGGAGAGAACTAAATCCCCTCACCCAGTTTATCACGCTGATAGCTTATATACTAACCCCAGCCAATCACTAACAGGATACATTAATTACCTACTCTAACAATGCCTGAAGAGTATTACCCGGTAGTTTAACACCTGGCTGTAATTGCCTTAACCACTTAGCATGACAGCTAAGACTTACACATAGATCATACTGATCTAGATCCAGTAACTGCTTGCTACCTCAACCTAGACGTATATCTCAATAAGACCACCAAGGAAGGCTCTGCAGAGGAAGGCAAGGGCAGTCCACCTCTGCTTCTCACTTGCTTTGAAAGCCCCTTGCTGGGGTCGCCATAGGCTGGAAGCTAAGCAGGGTCGGTGCTTGGATGTGAGACCACCAAGGAAGGCTCTGCAGAGGAAGGCCATGGCAAACCACCTCTGCTTCTCACTTGCCTTGGAAGCCCCTTGCTGGGGTCACCATAGGGTAGAAAGTAAGCAGGGTTGGTGCTTGGAAGGGAGAGTCTGGGCCTGGAGGAGCCTGGAGAGGGCAAGGTGTTGGGGAAGGGAGGGACTTCAGTGAGGTGTAACGCCACAGAGTCCAGCCTCCAAAGCAGCTATTTTCTCCAGGGGAACTGATCTTGCTTGCCTGGAGATCCACTATAATAGAGGGAGATCTCCGGGTGCCACCTGGAGGCTGGCAACCCTAGGGGCAGCACAGCAGGGATGAGTGTGTGTGGGGGTGCCGTTCTCTCCTTCCCAGGTCACATCTTCCTGGCTGCTAAGGTTCCCATCCTCCAGGTAGGCCCTGGGAAGCTCCAGGAGTTACACCTGATTCCTGGACTTCAGAGCTCAGTTCCCCTCAGAGCAAATGGCTGCTTTGGAGGCTGGGCTCTACGGCATGACACCTTGCCCTCCCCAGGCCCCACCTCCCCCAAATCTCCAGGAATTTCCCAGCCTGGAGCTGGCAACACTATGCGATGCTGCTTCTGTGCCCTCCTTCTCGAATGTCTCTTTGGAATGTTTCACTGCAACTGTACGATATCCCACTAAAGCATACGATGAGAGTTTTAGGAGGTCATATGGTCTTCGTTATCATACTCTATGATGAATGAAACCTAGAAGACATAGAATCATAGAATGTTAAGAGTTGGAAGGGACCCTGCAGGTCATCTAGTCCGACCCCCCGCACTCTGCAGGAGCAGAGCCGAAAGATGGCCCTACAACATACCCGGAAGAGGGTCGTCCAGCCTCCGCTTGTTAGAAGATGAGCAAATGAATGAGCCTGTGATGGTATAGTTGATGTTGTTAGGTCTAGTGATTGTGTTGTCTGGGTGTATGTGGCAGCAAAGTTGGCATTTGGGTTTACTGCGGGCTCTGGTACCAGTGTCCATGTTCAAGTTAGATGTTGCATTATTGTGGGTGAGAAGCTGTTTAAGAAGTTGTGGGTGAGAAGTTGTGTTTATATTGGTTTTATTTGTGGTTTTATATAATTGCATGATTGTATAATTTTAAGCTGTATTTATGTCTTTATGGAAGCTGCCCTGAGCCTGCTTTGCAGGGAGGGCGGGGTATAAATGTGATAATAAATAAAAATAAATAAAAAGACTGGGGGGCTGTCTATGCGCAAGAAAAGGTTTGCTCCCCAGTGCTTGTGAAAGAGAACTGTCATTATCCAGTAGAGGTTGTAAGTCACTGATGATGTTTTGAACTGTTTTGAGCTGAGAGCTGTATGTGACCACTATTGGTGTTCTATTGTCTCTTTTGGGCTTGTCTTGTAACAGTTTTTTTTCTGGGTATCATTCGGCAAGAAGTTCCAGAAACGGGGGTGGGGTGGGGTGTCTGCCCCTTGTAAATTGGAACATGAGTGATTCCACCTGTGAAAAAGCAGTGCTTAACTTTTCTGCTGACCAGTGATTCTCCCCTAAAAATACCTCCCTGCCAACAGTGATATTGAAGAAGAAGAAGAGATTGGATTTATACCCCGCCCTTCACTCCCCAAAGGTGTCTCAGAGCGGCTTACAAACCCCTTTCCCTTCCCCTCCCCACAACAGACACCCTGTGAGATTGTTGGCGCTGAGAGAGCTCTTGACAGAAGCTGCTCTTTTTCAAGAACAGCTCTTATCAGAACTACGGCTTGCCCAAGGTCATCCTCAACAAGTGTGGATGGGGGGAACAAGGGAATATGCAGTTCTGCCCTGAGGTCTTCACTTGCATCAAGCTGAATCAATTCATAAAATGGACTCTTTAAAATATGTCATAACTAGTAGCAAAGCCCATTGTAAAAGGAATACAACGAACGCTAGCAAGATGGAAAGGGCAGCAAAGTAACCCCACCACCACCATGTGAAGTAACCCCACCACCACCCAGTCTCTTCTACCCACCCGCCTCCCTCCCTCGAGAGTGTGGCCCTCTCTCTGCAGAGCCCTGGCCGGAGGGGGGAGAAAGAGAGCGCACACTCTGCATCCTCTGCACGATAAGCGATGGGGGGGGGGAGAAGTAGGTGTGGGGGAAAGGCTTTGTGCCTGGCCTGCTGTTTTGGAATGAACAGAGGTGGCTGCTGAGTGACAGGCAGCCCCGGACCCTCCCCCAAGTGCTCTGCCAGCTCAGTGAGGTGAAAGGGGGAGCTCCTCCAGCCACCCTGCCTGCTTGCCTGGCAGCCCCTTAGGCGTCAGCTGCTTCCTGGTCCTCCTTCCAGTGTCCGGCTTTCCAGAAGCCACAGCTCACGTCCTCTTGGCTAGACCCTCCCTGGCGCTGCCACTGCTGCTGAAAGGGGGGGAAACTTTCGAAAGGTAGTGGCCAGCTTTCTCCGTGGTGCAACCTGCTGAGCTATCTCCTTGACGAAGTGCCTGCCTTGCGGCTGAGGGAGAGGAGCTGTGAGGGGCAGCGAAGGTGAATGCTTCCCATGCTTGGTGCCACTCGCTAGGTCTGCCTCCTTCTCCCCTGCAGCCTTTCTAGCCAGTCGTCAGGGTTGCCTTATGAAGCGCCCCCCCTCGACATCCCTCCTGGTGGCCCGTCCTCTCTTTCCCTTTTGGGCCGTGGAGGGGTTGCTGCTCCCTTGGCGGAGCATCCATCTCCTTTGCCGGCTCCCTCCACACTGAGGCCGAGACGCTGGCCGTGGGCTCTTTGGGCGGGGCTGAGGCAATGCAGTGAGGCACCGCAACCGGGGGATTGGCAGACCTTCAGAGTGGCAGCTGAGGGAGCCAAAGGCTGTGGGAGCGTGTGGAACGTTCACACCAAAATAGAATTATATATAAGGAGAGATTTGAACCTTTCTGCTTGACCTTTCTTGCTCTCTGGTTGGGTGGAATATGAGTGATCTTGAGAGCGATCTCTCCTGGAGCTCTTTCTTCCTTGACGTTTCCGGAACAAGACAGTCAGGAAATGCCTTCTACAAGCCAACATTTCAGAACCCCCAACTCGATGCACAAATGCTTTCTCCTCCACAGATACAGCCTCATAACTCCCAATGTTATGCGGGTGGAGAGTGAAGAAAAGATTCTCGTGGAGGCTCATGGCCTTGGCGCGTCCACAGAAGTGACTGTCACGGTCTTTGACTTCCCGCAGAAGAAGAAGGCCTTGTACCTGGTCAGAGCTACCCTGAACCAAGAAAATGGCATGATGGCGACCCCAGTCATAAAGGTGGGTATGTGCTGACAGCTGTAGATAGCTGAATCCATGAACATGCGAAAATCATGACTGTTGACTGGGGCGGGTCTTAGGAACCATACCACTCCAATCTCGTTTCAACTACACTGGCTTCCAGTTTGCTTCCGGGCTCCATTCAAAGTGCTGGTATTGACCTTGCCCAATTTCATCAGATCTCGCAAGGTAAGCACGGCCGACTCTGGCAAGTACTTGGAAGGGAGACCTCCAAGGAATACCAGGGCTGGGATGCAGAGGCAGGCAATTTCAAGCCACCTCTCTGAAACGCCCAAACCGCACTAGGGACCGCCACAATTCACCACGACGTCCAGGCACACAAAGACACACACACAAACAAAATACTCACTAAAAACAAAACAAAAACAAAAAAGTGCTGGTATTGACCTTGAAAGCCCTGCACGGCCTGGGACCAACATACCTTAAGGATTGCCTTCTCCCATATGAACCTGCCCAACCGCTACTATCATCTGCGGAGGGATGCCTTCAAGTGCACCCCCCCATCTGAGGCTAGACAGGAGGTCAGGATGCCAGCCTCCAGGTGGGGCCTGGGGATCCCCCGGAATAACAGCTTATCTCCAGACTACAGAGATCAGTTCCCCTGGAGGAAATGGGTGCTTGGGGGGGGTGGACTCTGTGGCATTGCACCCCACTGAGGTCCAGGGATGCCAGCCTCCAGGTGGGGCCTGGGGATCCCCCGGAATCCCCAGACTGCAGAGATCAGTCC